CAATGCAGCAGAAATATTTAACAAGTTGTGATTGGTCAATGGTCGATGACCATGGCATGGTCGCGTGTTTTGCTGTCGACCTACGAGCAAGTTTTAGTATGAATAAAGTTATTCGACGACCGCGATTGGTCGGCGAGGCGTTTCTCGTCGCCGCCGAAGAGAAATATGGGGAGGACCACGCTCAGCCGACTGGTCAGCTTCGGTCTGCATATTTACGGTATATGGCCGTATGTACCGTCGACTGTGGTGTTCAGATTGTACTGGATCATAGCGCTGAGCACGACTCAAGTCTTTCAATATCGATACGTAGTGATGAACATTCATATGGACGACATCTCCAAGTATATGGATGGAGTGAGCAGCGCAATGGTGTCTTCTTTATTCTACATTAAGCTCATTATCCTTTGGATTTATCAACGGTAAGGTGTATTTATGGAATAATCATGTTACTCGTCTCATTATTAGCACTTGCCGAAACTACCGGTCAAAAAAGTATCAAATAATAATTAATCAGTCTTCGATTTTATTCAATTAGTTTGATTATGAGAACTGAGAGTACACACATGACTGCGTGTTATGAGTTGTCTGTTATTTATAATACTTTATAAATAACAGCGTCATACAAAATATCATAAAATATTAGCGTCAAAAATTCAGAATTAATTTAATTTATGATAGACGAGTGTGAAAAAGAACATTAACGTGAATGGTGCGCCCAATCTTCCGTAGAATATTTTACGATCTATTGCAAATGATGTCTGCGGATTGGCAAGATAGCACTTTGAACCGCTGTAGCTCGCGCGTAATGATAGACGGGGCAAATCTTGCACGTCGTACCTCGAGGTGGATTATCGGCATGCAAGTAGGTGCCGTATGTTTATACAGCGTCGGTGTACTCGCAGCTAACGCAAACAGTCCCGAGACATTAGAGCCGTACGCGCGAGAGCTCATTCTGGCAATGGAGCTGCCATTCAACATTAGCACAGATTTTATTTACACAACAGTTCAATCCGTTCAATTTTATCACCTGTTTTTATTCGCCTGCGGCATTCATATTATTAATTGCCTTCTCGTCACTTTGGTAAGCTTAAATTGCACGTTACGCGTGCTCAATGTTAAAATAAAACAAATTTTTTTTTTAATTTACCTCTTTCAATTTGATCTTATATCTGATAAAGTCGTCCATAATTGAAACTTTAAATTAAATATATTACGTATATGCATTAGTAATATTTTATATTTTATGTAAATTATTCGCTAAATCATTTTTTACATTTTTCTCCGATATCTTTAAAAATGACTCAAGAGATAATTTTTAATTTCCTGAGAGAGAAAGATTATGAAGCTATAACCTTAGATAATTCACGTCTGTGGTCAAATCGATATTCTTCGAGAATCGTTGACAAATATCTCCAAATGTTCAGCGGATTCGATGGACGAATTTACATTGCCATCGTTGATTATTAAGCACCAGCGTATTATTATATTTGCGGAAAGTATTGAGACTCTTTTCACGTACATCGCTTTTATGATGCTTTTATCAGACACAATCATCATATGCTGTTTAGGATTTATTATCGTTACCGTAAGTAACAAGTCTAAAGTGACGTTTGGTTACTTATAAATATAAATACGTTTTGTGCTTCACTTCTTTTGCCTGGTTTTCCGCCTTCTTCACTCTAATACTCCTCCTTACCTTCGACTTACCATGCCGTTAACGCCCCAAATACTCGTTACCCCGACCTTTTTTCATTTCCATTGCATCACTCTGCCAAGTTTCGCGCTTCTTTCTTCTACTGTGCAGTCAAATAATTCAACGACCTTCCCTCTACCATAAGATCCTTAACCTCTTTGTCTTCTTTTCGTACAGCTGCATCCACCTTCATTTCATCGACTGCATTTCCTGCCAGAAATGCATCTCAACCTGCGCATCACTGATTGCTTGCACGATATGTCGTGTCTGCTAACGCGCACACGTGCGAGTGTGTGTGCGTGCGTATTTATCTATGTGTTACTGTGCGTATTGTAAGTTCTGCGACGAATGTGTTGTACGACAAAATATTATTCTCGTGAGCGAATCCATCGTTTTTTATATTATGTTTTTTTTTATATTATATGTTTTATATATTGACTTACACTGTCTTCACTGGAAGGCTTAGTAACAACATCGTGTTGATGCCTCACCATTTGCGTGCACTCATTATTTATACTCTCTATAACTGTATCCTCCACTAAGCATCGCAATAAATTAAATTAAATTAAATTAAAAAATTAAAAATATTCCGTACCGGATTAAGAGACTGCTGATAATTATTGACACTAAAGATGTCTGTGGAAGTATCGTGTATGTGTAAATAACATAACTCATACTAAATTACTGTTCGCGTACATGGAAATTTCAGTCGCTCAACTCACCTAATGTCGCAGCAATTTTGGTAAAGACATTGATATACTACATTTCGATGAACGTCGAGGCATTCATATACTGTTTTAGTGGTGAACATCTGACCGCCAAGGTTAGCTCCAAGAAAAAAATGGCAGTTTCATTAATTCGCAGATATCTCGATCCTGTATTTTTCTCTTTTCAGAGTAAAATGATTGGAAGTGCGGCGTACGATTCACTCTGGTACGATTTTCCAGCAAAAGAAAGTCGAACTATATTGTTTCTTATTGTCAGATCGCAGAAAAGTTTGACGATCACGAGCGGAAGGATCTTCGACCTCTCTTTGGAGAGGTTTACTAGCGTAAAATTTCATTTATACATATTTTTTTTGCATTTGTTTGCTTTGTAACGTTATGTAAAATTCAAATATTTTTAACAAGTTTTATCATGATAATTATTTTTTAAAGGTTTTAATTAATATTAAAACAAAAATTATCAATTTAGTAACAATATACAAATTAAAACAAAATTTATTATTTTTATTTTTTAATTATTAACGAAATTCACTATTCTCATATATTAATTATCGAAATAACTTAAGTTACAAAAATTAACATGGCAATGTTTACACCGCATTAAATTACAAACAGTTTCATATAATTTCCGTTGGTTATTATATTGTAATTTAGTTATATTTCTTTTCATATTACTGTACCTACTATTTAATTTCTGAGTACATATATGTGATATGGATTATAGATCACAAATAATAATATTTCAGGTAGTAAAGGCATCGTTGTCGTATATATCTGTACTTTTGGCGATGTACTGAAGACGAGTGATGTATTGATAATAGTTGTAACAATAAATCAATAGTAAATAAAAAATATGATAAATATTACTACATCTTTATCTCCCACGAGTTGCGACTAGTTTGAACTATTTTACTATTTACATCTCCTCTTTGCACAAAAAAAGGATTATACGCGTTAATGCGAAATAAAAAAAAATTACGACGAAAAACTTTCTTGTTTTGAACAGCTATTGATAAAACAAGATCCACTCGAATCTTTTTTTCCCCAGTGCTTTCAGTTAATTTATCTATGGTGCAAAGACAGTAGTGTAAACAAACTTGCAATTTCGCTTTCTCTTGACATTTCCAGCCCGCATCTTTAAGTCTTGAATCACTTAATATGGCTGTTGTTCACAATTTGTCATCTGACATTTGCATGTGCTTTTTTTTTATTATACTGTATTAATTAATCGTGTATGGTCAATTGCTTGCGAGGCGCTTTCGCGTTCCAATCATTAGCGATACTCCTCCAATATTCGCGATATATCTCGATCAAAGAAAGAGCACTGATGTTCGACGCTCTATAAATCATTGATAGAAAAGCTTCTTTCTCGCTGCTGTGAAAATAACGAGTACAGTATGTTCCTCTATAAAAATTGTTGTTCGTATCTTTAGCATTTGATCCAACGTGTCGTGCCCCGTTTTGCGCAGATTTTACCGGTTTACGACAACATTAATCGTCGTTTAAATTTGTCAATATGCTTGCATTGTAGTGCACTATTATATCGAGGGACTGAGAAAAATGGATTTGATGTACAATTTATACTGCTCTTTGGCGTACAGCTTGTTGCTCTTTATCAGTTCTCTAATCGTTTCGTTGCGACATGATATTCGCGTATGACGGCAGAAATTCCTTTTATCATATTGCAAATCATGAAAGCTACGGCTTCATGCGTGTCTGTGTTACACACAATATACTGATGCCTTATCGCATGCTACTTATATCTTCGCGTGTAGAAAGATATAGTACTTTCACCACCGTCAGTCGTTTATACGATTAACAATTTTTTTGTTCAAAAAGCCGGAGTTTTGCATCAAGTGTACGAGTGCAGACAAGCAGGGGTAACAAAGCATCGATTTACCGAGATACCAGTTCGCGATGACTTTATTTAGCTTGCAGTGTATAAGGCTATAAGTCTTATATATTAATACATCACTGATATTTTAGATCGATGTATTTTACAGAGACAACAAAATAATGACCAAAATACACGTATCCAATTAAGAGAGATTAATTTTAATCAGCGTTTTCATATTAAAATCGAAAATTGACTTGTAATTAAGATTTTTAAAGTAACTAAACGACATTATATGAAAAAAAACTAATTACGTTAAAAGTGTAGTGTAAAAATAATAAACACAAATAGTGTAATATAAAAGAATATAATAATGTAATATAATCTTGTGAAGTACTCACCTCGGTTATACATAAGATACAATTTCTCGCTCTGGCTGCATTTTTCTTCGCTTATACCGTCATTCTGTAACTCTGTACGTCTGCACCGTCGTTGTCGAACTGCCCGAGCTTTCTTGCAAGCACAGTTGGCGAGCGCCAACTGTGATCTTTACACTCGTGTTTCCATCGTGACGAACTCTTACGATACGTCTTAGTCTTCCTTTCTCATGATCCCTCAGCACGGAGGGGATCCCCAGTTACGCTTTGCCCCCCTCCCCAGCAGCGGAATATTTCAACCTCACGGCAGCAGTTCGTGGAAGCTGCGCTCCACCTTCCCTTTACCTGTTGCATTTTTAAAGAGGGCATACAGTTGTATTGTAGTCGAAAGTTGGAAAAGAAGGGGACCTTTCCTATAAGTATATTGTCTATGCATTCATTATTTCTAAAATTACAGTTGCAGTTATTTTTTTCTTTTTCTTTATGCAATGCAGCAGAAATATTTAACAAGTTGTGATTGGTCAATGGTCGATGACCATGGGTCGCGCGTTTTTCTGTCGTCCTGCGAGTAAGTTTTAGTATGAATAAAGTTATTCGACGATCGCGATTGGTCGGCGAGGCGTTTCACGTCGTTGCTGAAGAGAAATATGGGGAGGACCACGCTCAGCCGACTGGTCAGGTTCGGCCTTCATATTTATGGTATATGGCCTTACGTACCGTTGACTGTGATGTTCAGATTGTACTGGATCATAGCGCTGAGCACGGCTCAAGTTTTTCAATATCGATACGTAGTGATGAACATTCATATGGACGACTTCTCCGAGTATATGGATGGAGTGAGCAGCGCAATGACGTCTTCTTTACTCTACATTAAGCTTATTATTCTTTGGATCTATCAACGGTAAGGCGTACTTATGGAATAATATGCAAATCATGTTACTCCATCGTCTCATTATTAGCACTTGCCGAAACTACCGGTCGGAAAAGTATCATATAATAATTAATCAGTCTTCGATTTTATTCAATTAGTTTGATGAGAACTGAAAGTACACACATGACTGCGTGTTATGAATTGTCTGTTATTTATGATACTTTAATAAAATATTGCTATCAAATTCAGAATTAATTTAATTTATGACAGACGAGTGTGAAAAGGAACATTAACGTGAATGGTGTGCCCAATCTTCCGTAGAATATTTTACGATTTATTGGAAATGATGTCTGCGGATTGGCAAGATAGCACTTCGAACCGCTGTAACTCGCGCGTAATGACAGACGGGGCAAATCTTGCACGTCGTACCTCGAGATGGATCGTCGGCATGCAAATCGGCTCCGCATCTTTTTACAGTGTCGGTGTACTGGCTGCTAACGCAAACAGTCCCGAGACATTAGAGCCGTACGCGCGAGAGCTCATTCTAAAGATGGAGCTGCCATTCAACATTAGCACAGATTTTATTTACACGACAGTTCAATCTGTTCAATTTTATCACCTGTTTTTAGTTGCCTGCGGCATTACAATTATTAATTCGCTTCTCGTCACTTTGGTAAGCTTAAATAACGTGTTACGCTTGTTCAAAGTTAAAATAAGACAAATTCCATTTTTCATTTACTTATTTCAATTTGATCTTATATCTGATAAGATCGTCCATAATTTAAATTTTAAATTAAATATATTACGTATATGCATTAATAATATTTTATATTTTATGTAAATTATTTGCTAAATTATTTTTTATATTTTTCTCTGATATCTTTAAAAGTTACTCAAGAGATAATTTTTAATTTTTTGAGAGAGAAAGATTATGAAGCTATAAACCTTAGATAATTCACGTCTGTGGTCAAATCGATATTCTTCGAGAATCGTTGACAAATATCTCCAAATGTTCAGCGGATTCGATGGACAAATTTACATTGCGATCGTTGATTATTAAGCACCAGCGTATTATTATATTTGCGGAAAATATTGAGACTCTTTTCACGTACATCGCATTTATGATGCTTTTATCAGACACTATCATCATATGCTGTTTAGGATTTATTATCGTTTCCGTAAGTAACAAGTCCAAAGTGACGTTTGGTTACTTATAGATATAAATATTGCGTATCGGATTAAAAGACTGTTGATAATTAATAACATTCAAGATGACTGTCGAAGTATCGTGTATGTGCATGTAATTAACTCATATAAATTATATACTGTTCGCGTACATGGAAATTTCAGTCGCTCAACACACCTAATGCCGCAGCAATTTTGGTAAAGACATTGATATACTACATTTCGATGAACGTTGAGGCATTCATATACTGTTTTTGCGGTGAACATCTGAGCGCCAAGGTTAGCTCCAAAAGAAAAATGGTAAATTCATTAATTCGCAAATATATCGATCTTGTATTTTTCTTTTTTCAGAGTAAAATGATTGGAAGTGCGGCGTATAATTCTCTCTGGTACGATTTTCCAGCCAAAGAAAGTCGAACTATATTGTTTCTCATTGTCAGATCGCAGAAAAGATTGACGATCACGAGCGGAAGGATTCTCGACCTTTCTTTGGAGAGATTTACTAGCGTAAGATTTCATTTATACATATTTTTGCATTTGTTTACCTTGTAACGTAACGTAATACTCAAATATTTTTAACAAGTTTTATCATGATACATATCTTTTAAAGGTTTTAATTAATATTAAAACAAAAATTTTTTATATTTTTATAGTAACAGTATACAGATTGAAACCAAATTCACTATTCTTATATATTAAATATCGAAATAACCTGAGTTGCAAAAATTAACATGGCAATGTTTACATCTTACAAACAGCTTCATATAATTTCCGTTGGTTATTATATTGTAATTTAGTTATATTACTTTTTATATTACTGTATTATTTAATTTCTGAATATTCTATACATGTAATATGGATTATAGATCTCAAACAATAATATTTCAGGTAGTAAAAGCTTCGTTGTCGTATATATCGGTACTTTTGGCGATGTACTGAAGATGAGTGATATATTGAGATATAATTGTTGTTGTTACGTGGTTAACTATTTTGGAGGTCTGGGAAATGGAATAAAGCTTGTCCTCTTTATTGCACACACCAACGTTATTTTATTGCAAAAAATGGCGATATATCGATATCTTGTCTTGTCGGAACTCGTGGGACTAGTGCGTGTTACAGCGGCCTTTAAATAGGGAATAGTGTACACAAGTGTATAATGTGCAAGTGAACTTTCACTCAGCTTTACTAACTAGATTATAAGAGCGCGAGATACAAAAAATAATAAATAAAATAATAACTAAAAATAATATAGAAAAATTAAAAATAAACTTATATTTGTTACAGTTGTAACAATAACATAAAACAATAGGAAATAGAATATAGGGTAAAAATTATTACTTCTCCCACGAGTTGCGAGTTTGAATTATTTTACTATTTGCATCTCCTCTCGCACAAAAAAAGGATATTATATAGTCGTTAATGCAAAACAAAAAATTACGACAAAAAACTTTCTTGTTTTGGACTTCATGATACTATTGATAAAACAATATCCACTCGATCCTTTTTTCCCAGTGCTTTCAGTTGATTCATCTACGGTGCAAAGGCAGTACTGTAAAACAAACTTTTGCAATTTCGCTTTCTCTTGACATTTCCAGCCCGCATCTTCAAGTCTTGAATTACTTAGCACGGCTGTTGTGCACAACTTCTCATTTGACGTGCTTTTTTTTATTGCTGTATTGATTAATCGTGTATGGTCGATTGTTTGCGAAACGCTTTCGAGTCCCAATTTGCAGCGATAACCTTCCAATATTTGCGATACTTCTCGATCAAAGAAAGAGCACTGATGTTCAATGTTTCATAAAAATTATAAATTATTGATAAAAAAGCTTTTTTTTCGCTGCTGTGAAAATAACGAGTACAGTATGTTCTTTTATAAAAATTGTTGTTCGTATCTTTAGCATTTGATCCAACGTGTCGTGCCCCGTTTTGCGTAGATTTTACTGGTCTACGACAACATTAATCGTCGTTTAAATTTGTCAGTATGCTTACATGGTAGTGCACTTAGTGCACTACTATATCGAAGGACTGAGAGAAATGGATTTGATGAACAATTTAAACTGTTCTTTGGCTTACAGCATGTTGCTCTTTATCAGTTCTCTAATTGTTTCGTTGTGGCATGATATTCGCGTATGACAGCAGAAATTGCTTCTATCATATTGCAAATAATCGTGAAAGCTTCGGCATCATACGTGTCTGTGTTACACACAATGTATGGATGTCTTACCGCATGCTACTTAT